GGGGGGGGGGGGGGGGGAAGGGGGAGGGGGAGTTAGTAGGCCTACCCCATAACACGTACCTCCTTAAATCCGCCACTGAAACCAGTTTAAAGGGAATTATAAGTTATTACAGCACACAAGAATGAGCTAGATGATATATAAAATGATGGACAGGAATGATGGAAAGTCATATACAATGCAAAATATTGCTGAAATGCTAAGTTACATTTACTTGGAAATAATTAATATATAATTTTGAAGGATATAGTCTAGCAACATATTGAAAATAAAGATTCCCAAAAATTTAATATAAGTTCTAGAAACAGATAAAGTTCAATAAAAATACACGCCGGTTTTCACTATACATACACGAATCATTGGTTCTGAATAGTCGCATAAATGTAACATATTATATGGAAAGAACTGAAAATTAACAAGTCAACACAATTAAATTCATTATGCTAGTATATATTTTCCATAAGACACGAAGAATCTATGAAAATATAGCCCTACTATCATTGTCACCAAATACTTTTTTTAAAGTAAAAAAAAAACAAAAAAAAAACAGAGAATTGTGTAAAAAGTGGATCTTACTGCAAGTACTGCTTAACCTGCCACACCCACCTTGCATTGGATTTGAAGAAAATAAATAAAGTTACCCTTTTACTAACTCGAACATTTTAGAGCAGTTGGTCGTTGCAATTGTATTTGGTGCATTATGTCTATCTCTCAAACCTCACCAACCTCACAAAAATTGTCACTGTCGCACAAAAGGGCGATATTCAGTTGCAGTAAATCTTTATCATGTAAAATAAACAAAGCCACGTGATAAAAGGGTAATATTTCAACTCGGAATGCTACTGTAATAACATTGTAACACCTACTGTCATTGGTCGCTTTTCGTGACAGCGGAAGAATATTGTCACCTGCGACCAATCACAGCATGACGTTTTGACACACTAGGTTATAGATGTCCGTGCTTCGGCAAGGGGCGATGTAAATTGGGTCATGGGGTTTGTTTCGCTATGAAATCACCTTGTAGACACAGTAAAACGCCCATCGGACGTGTATTACAGGCAATGCAAGCAAATTAGATACACGTTTAACCTCTGAGTTATCACAGGCAGGGAAAAAGATACAGGCGAGCGTACTTCTGAGTGTGGTCAAGTCACATTTAACAGGTGGTTGCCTTGAAATGCAGAACTGAACCTACAACAAGCGACTTATTTCCTGGGTACAGCTATGTAATCAGCTCGTGCAAGTATGTGATTTGTATTCTACAGCTGGTATACTTCATTGCCTGTCGTCAGATTATAGCCATTCCAGGTAGAACATATACTTTTTTCTGTCTGTCGGCTGTCACTCATTTGCTTTAAAGCGGTTTTGTGGAGACACTTTCTGTGGACTTGTAAACCAGCAGACTTCACTAGGATTACACGTTTTAAGTTGTATTCGTTTCCTCAAATCTCTTGATGATTTCAGTGCATAGGACAGTATAAACACTGCACAGATTGTAATACATAGCAAAGAGTTTCTTGTGCCCTTGTTATTTAGATATCAGCGTCATTATTCTGCAGAACAGCTGTTTTTGATTCTGCAAAATTGGACAGTCAATATCTATTTCATACCATGTAATAATGCCTACAATTTAGATCAGTGTTCTTACTGATGCTTGTAGTATTAGTCCATTAGATTCGAGACCCTTTACCAGGGTATATAATACCATTTTTTTAAAATGGCAACTGGGCGTGGGTCTCACACATATGTTCTTGTCCTCTATGATTACGACTACGTCGCTGACGATGGAAGTCCAGTTTCAATAAAGAAAGACGAGGAATATGTTTTGCTCAAGAAAGCTAACAAAGACTGGTGGCATGTCGCTAACCTTCATGCGAAGGCGAATGGGGAGAAGCCTTTTTATGTGCCTGCGGCCTATGTAGAAGAAATATACAAAAACGTGATATCAGTAGGACCAGGTGAAATACGAGAAACGAATGAGGATGTTCAAATGGATGCTACAGTCACAGTTAATGAGGACCAAGTAACAACTATTAAGGTTGGATATGATCAAGAACCAGAGCCGGATTATCCTGGTGACCCCCCTGACTTGCACCCTAAGACCCCAAAACCTAACGAGGATTTAGACAATAACAACATGAAGGATTTCAGTTTTCAGGAAGATTCGGACTCAGTGAGAGTTAAACAATCACCCCAAATTGTGCGGCAGAAATCGGCGCCCCCTGAGGTTCCACAAAAACCCCAACGAAGGTATGAAGACCCGACCTATGCTAATTTAGAGGAAGTGAGAGTGGCGGCGGGGATGGACAGACCATTGTCACAAGTGTCACAGTCGTCAGATTTGTCACAGGTAAGGGTGGTCATCTTAAGAAAGGGACTTTATCATTATTGAGTATGCATTTTTTTTTTCCAACTTAATTTTTGATTCTTTCTTCTTTCAGAAACTTGACGAGGAATGTGAAAGTGATGCAGTTTGTGTAAACATTTTATTCCTGTTTCTTTGTTCCATTGCAGAAAATGAAAGTACTGTACTTATTACTTGTATCTGCTGTCCTATTTAATACCTGTAGTTATTATTCACTGTTAAAGTGTCAGTTATTCGAGTATTTAACTGGTCAGTTTACAGTTACGCATATTTGACATGGGGGATAGAGAGGAGGGGGGGGGGAGGTTAAGGCTTGGAGGGGGGATTCACTGTTAATTTTTCAGATTACATAAAGGAGTTTTTTCCACTGTTCTGGACCCTGTACTAAGTACTAGTACTGTGACAGTTGTCATGTTTGTAAGTGTACATGTGCTGGATAAAAACACATGTTTATAGTATAAACTACATGTTTTACAAAATGTCCAGGTTTCTTTTGACAGCTGTTTTGAAAACAGGACTTGTTTACTAGTAGGATTCCAAAGACAAGGGAATTATCCTCTTTTAGACCCCATTCCCAGAGATTAGATCGATCTACTTTAGATCGACCTAACTCCCTGGAGGTTCACGCTAAATAGCTGTCAGCCGAGCGGGCACGAAAGTTAATTACCCCCTTACAGATTGTAGTAGGCGGGACGGACATTTAAGCCGGATTATCTGACAGTAATCTAGTGAGACTCCACGTGGGGATAGATCGATCTAAAAGCTCTGGGAATATGCCCTTAGTCTAAGGAGGTAAAATTGAAAAAAATATTTGTAAAGCTGCATCTATTTGCAAGCTCATGTACTAGTACAGACACTGGGCAAAAATGTAAATGCCCCTTGTGAATTATTTTTGTAGCTTGTAATGGGCTATGGACATTAATCTCTAGGTACATGTATATAAATAAACATAAACGTAACATAATGCTGATATCCTTTTTAAAGTTTTGAATGGGGCATTTATATTTTTGCTCAGTGTATATAGCCTGTGCTCAAGTACCAGTTAATGCTTGACTTTGTAGAGATAGTCATTTAAATGGCCACTGTATCACACTAACATAAGACCCTTGTGTATTATAGGGCACTAAGATGAACATAAAAGTACACTTAACATACATGTGGTGTTGTTCAGGTGGGAAAAAACAACAACAACTACACATGCATAATGCCCCATTACATGAGCAAGAGGCTCATACTTGGAGTTAAGTTGTACATGGTCAGTCACTGGTCAGTGCGTCACATGAAGTCCAGATGGTCATCATGATTAATGGTCACTCACCATGGCATACTTTATTATAGGCAGTGGGCAATATGGTGGCTAATATATATATATATATATGTGTATATATATATATATATATATATATATATATATATATATATATATATATATATATATATATATATATATATATATATATATAGAAAGAGAGAAGAGAGTTTAATGTATAAAATGATCATGTGTGTTCAGACAGGTTTTATTTCTGATTATTTCTGGTCTAAATTGGACATCCTGATTAGTCACCCTAGTGTGCTTTGGATATGTCTGAATCTAAGTGCATTTGTCCATGCCTTCTCCTTTATAATGCGATCCAGCTTTGCCTCAAACTTCACAAATCCTCTTAAGATTATTTCTTGGTATATACTGCTATGTATGTTAGACAGACATTGTCATTCTGAGTTATATTTTGTTTGAACTGACATGAAGTAGGTCAGACTTTGAAAGTTGAAGGTCCAAAGATGATATCAAGTAGAATATTTCTGTCCTTTACACTGGCAAGAATATGCAATATAATATTTGCATCCATTGCCATTGTCTAATGGTCAACGTGACCTTCTCATTAAATTCAATTCTTATTAAGGGTTGAAAAGGTGCAGTGGGGTCCCGGGTAGAGAGGAGACTACAAGATATTTAGGGAAGAGGCATTTTTATGAAACTTAAATAATTATCCTTAAAAGTGACAGCCTCCCACTCCACTTAGAGTGCTAGAAAAGAGAAAACAGGAAAGGTCAGGAGGGAGAAATCAATATAGTAAAATATGGTGACAGCATTAGTCGCTGTTGTCTTGAAATAGCAGTTCTGATAACAATACAGATGTAGCCATGTTCATGGAATATTAGTGTCAGTCAGTAAACAGTTTGTTCTGTTCAGTAGTCGGGACACAGTTAGCTGTATAATTCTGAGTCCAGGCTGGGTAAAATTGGTTCCACAAAATATATTCATACTGAAAATTGGTGTTAATTTAAAAGATGAATCATAGCATCAATTCACAATGGGATTTTGTCCTGTTTTATAACTAGTCAGATATGGTTAATGTTTGGAACCAGTGATTTTTTAAGGATGAACACATGGTTCAAGGAACATGCCTGTATCTTCTTAGCCCACTAGGAAATATTCCAACGTTTTGCTTATCATTATTTCAACAGATATTCATTTCAAATCCTTATTTAATTATGTGCCAGTTACATAAGGATATACAATGCTTTTTATTTCTTCTGTATTGATATTTTAGACCTGTTAATTTGTAGATAACATTTCACTTGATTTAATGCCACTATTTTCACAAAAACATGCAAATTTTGGCAGTTTTTCATTGATCGCATCCTAAAATTTGATTGGCACGAAGTTATCAATTTTCATTCCAAAGATTTTCTTGTGAAACCAACACCAGGAACTAAACTTTTAACTGCTTGAACTAAGTACTGAACAATTTTGAATGGTTCATCCATGACCTGTTGTAAGAAGAGTGATAGACTAGTGATTCTCTTCTTTAAATCAGAGATGAAAGTTTCCAACATATTTTATCTGGAAATCTGGTTAGTTCTGGAATAATTATTTTGAAAAATCTGGAGAACATTGGGTGTTAGACCCCCCCCCCCCCCCCATCAAGTGGGTGATGCCATATTTGATCCGCAGATCAGTTAGTCCACAGGTCAACTTGTTCTGAATGGGCCCATAAACTGCTTGTGCAAAAAACCATGATATCGTCTGTGAGCATTTTTTTGAACATGTTTACTGTTATCTGTGGCCATAAAGGTTGAAAGTTATTTTGTCTATAATCTGCTGTGTTTATCTGATCTATGTGCAGTCAGTGGCCACATCTGAGGAACATTTACACACAGGTTTTTGGAGAACATTGCAAACTACAGATTTTAATTAAAACACAATATAGGAATGTTTACACACAGGAGAAGGCTGCAGCTGCAGATAATATCAAGTTATACAAATTTGGCGTATTGAAAAGCAAAACACCACAAGTTTGATAAAATCAGCAGTCACATGAGTTTCATTATATAAATCTGTATTAAAACCTGTCTTTGCTGTCAATGGCAGATGGTACCCCTCCCCCACCTCTCAAATAGTTTCATACATGCAAACCTGTGAGCAAAGTGAGGCAACCTTTTGTTACCCCA